GGATCCATCAGCCCACGTGGAAAAAGAGAACATGCTGCAGGGGTAACATCTTGTTCTCCATAGCATGCTTCCCAGTCTTGACCCTAGCTTACAGATGGGTGGGGTCAAATCTATGGATATTTCGTATTTGAAATAGAAGCCCCTTTTTTATTAAACTCTCTGAATTGCGTCAATCGGTCTGCGCATTCGAGAAATCTTAGTAAAGAAAATCTGTTAGAAATTTGCTTTGAAAGTTTTGAATACGAAGAGGATGTGCTTTCCCTAAAAAATCAAAAATAGAACTTTGTTTGTGTGACATTAAGCTATCTTAAAAATCTTAAAATTAAAATAAAAACAAGCCTAAGCTACCCTATTTTGGACGGGGTTTGCCAATATTTAAGACAGGGCTCCCAATATCCTTATGCTAGATCGGCATGAAAATTTCCGTCTAATACAGCTCCTTTCATTCGATAAATAGATTCTGATGGAGTGGTTTGTCGCCTTTCTGTCCTGATCTTGAATTTAAGCTAATCCTTAAAGAACACGATCAGTTGAGAAGAAGTATGCTTCTCGTCTCCATAGAATTCCTTCGGTCGCGTCGTCCATATCACGCCTCGCATAACACCTAATAAGCACAAGAACACATAATGCTCAGTCTTAGTCAACAACATTACCCCATTGCTACAAACAGAAATGCCCGCAAGGACGAAGAATTTCCACATAGTATGTGAACCATGATCATATCAGTAAACTTGCACAACAGAACTAAGACCTTGCAGTAGAAGAAGGCGTGACCCAGGGTCTCCACCGACTCACTGCAATGTACGCAGTTGGAAGAATTTCTCAAGCCCACTAAACAAAGATTTTGCCGACTCAAAGGGCCTTTTGCATCACCAGACAAATGAGTGATGCCTCATTGTTAGTGAGGCCTTTCAACCCAGGCGCCCCAAGCCCATATGGAGCGAGCCTCCTGCTTCGTTAAATGGAGCTCGCCAGTCAGACCATCTTGAACAGACCACCGCACTAACACCTGATATAATGCCTTACAGGACAATGCCTGGACGTCGGAGAGGCCATCCGTCGCCCGTAAGAGGAACTTGTTAGCTAACATGCATTCACGACAGAAGGGGAAATTGCCTTGGGATAAACGGTGGGCCTACTCCTCTCACGAGTGCACACTTCACAGGGACGGGAAGTTCTTATTGACGTCTTCCTTCCAGAATTCGCCACTCCCATCCGCTTTCGAATACATTCGGTCTAGGAACGCAAAGCGTATATTGACGAATTTCAACGCTAGCCATAACCAGACCCCCTTCAGAAGGGTGGCGCTAACAGATCTCCCGACAAACTTAGGGAGCCTTGCCTACCCACAACGAGGAGAACAAGTACTTAAGTGAATTAGTATGGCATACTGGAGTGGAAGCACAGACAGTCGGTAAAGGAGAATCGGGTAGATACGTGAAACACATACTTCCGCCATCCCCTTTAAGGAAAGATTCCTCCGGGAACACAGGCGAACTGCGCCCTCTACCTTCTCCCACACATCCAACCAATTCATTTCCAGCAAGAGATAGGGACCGTACCAGACGCCAAGTATCTTGACCGGCCTATCCGTCCTGAGGAAAGGCCCTGGAAAAAAACTCTCTTCCAAGTGCCCAACCGAAAGTCAACAGACTTATTACCGTTTCATACACTCTGATCTCTTTATGGACTTCGTCAATCTCGGCCCTTCCCGACACAAGAACCGAAATGTTATCAGCATAGGAGAAGTACCTGACCGAGGTGGCAAGCACCAGGTAAGGAGATTCCGCGTAGGACTAGATTCGCCTTTAACTTAAGAAAAGGCTCCAAAACAAGAACGTAAAGTAAAAGTGAAAGCGATCAACCTTTACGAATGCAGTGGGACAACACGAAAGGCTCCGATCGTACCCCATTCACTTCTACCAGCGCACAGGGATACGCGTACAAAAATCGGATCCAAGTGCGAAAGTAGGATCCGAAACCGGCAGCCGTAAGGACATCCTCCAAAAAACGATGGCCAATTCTATCGAATGCATTGGACTGATCTAAATTAATCAGCGCGGCTTCACTGTCGACTTGCTCGATGATGAAGCGTACCAAATGAAAGTTGTCCTGAATAGTCTTACCCTTCACAGCACAAATCTTCTCAGAACTAATCAGACTAGACAGGACAGCCTTCAAGCGGCTGTCTAAGATCTTGGCTAAAATCTTCAATTCCGTATTTAACATCATCAAAGGCCGAAAGTTAATTATCCCATTCCCACCGTTCTTGTTTTTGCGTAGTAACTTGGTCACCTATCTGAGGAAGCGCTGTGGCATAGATACCTGCTTCATCGCGTTGTTGTAAATCAGTTCCAGCAAGGAAACAAGAACAGGCGACCGGCTCAAGTATACTTCGTAAAGAAGACCATCTAATCCCCCGAAGTTTTGTCCCGGCCTACCATCTTTTAACGCTTCCCATATCTCAGACTCTGTAACCCTTCAGGAAAGTAGGCTAAGTCAGCAACGAACTGAGGAGTGCTCAGACCTAGTTCCCTTGTGAACAGCTCCCAACAGTAGTCGCGACAACGCTCGCATATGACTGCGGTTGTATTCACGGTCCGCTTATCCGGCAATGTGTCGCACGCGATATGTCTATTGGATGCATTTCTAACTAATTTCTAACACTATGCGCAGTTCAGCGACCATATTCGTTGCCTCCGGAGATATTCTTTTTAACCTACGAGAAATTGGTCCTACAAGAAATTGGTCCTTCCTGAGAAGCAAGAAGGCCAGCTCCGCCCTAGATAAGGTTACTTCCCTACTATCACGGGATTTAATCGCCCGATCAACTTTTGCATCCCATGCCGTTTATGCTGCTAAACTAGCTAGATTGAGTCGGCGATTATTATCAACAGAAAACGACCTCTACTTATTCCCAACCACAGCCCCCGTCAATTCTCACTGTAGTATTAGTAGCAGCTGGTTCTGAAAATCTCGCTCACCAAATAATGATGCGTTCAACTTCCAGTAGCCAGCCATCATAACCTTAGGCTTACCTAAGTTTACACTAACCTGAACGAGCCTATGATCCGAGTAAACTATAGAACGAAAACTTAGACAACCTAAGAGCCCTACATCGATACCCTTAACTAGAACTAGGTCGAGGTGGCTAGAACGCACCACCAAAGCCGATCTACCTCTACCAGATTAGGCCACACTACTTCACGAGGTTGTTCATTACGATACTTATCGACAAGATCGAATTTGTCTTTTAAGTCCTGAAATGCTAGTATCCGATCTTTCCCTTATACAATCTATATCAAGGGTCTAGATAGCATTCCAAACACCCGCTAAAACTACCCAACGAGTTGTCTTCAAATAACGGCTCGATACGCCGAAACAAATCAGCCCGCTCCATTAGGCGCATAAACCCCAATAAGACGAAGAGACTTTATGGTAACATTCAACGCACAAAGCTTGCTCGCCCGATTTTCGAAGACAAGAACACACGTCGCATTCAAAGACTTGCTCACTAGCGTCCATCAAATTATGCTAAATAGAGGACAAACCTCGCAGACAAAATGCATTTATAGTCGCGAGTTGAAAACCGGATCTCCTGTACACAACATACATCCACTCCGAAACGTTGAAGATCTCGTGTGAGTCTCGCCCTACGAGGCTCCGATCTTAGGCTCCTGGCATTCAAACTAGCTAACCAGAGTGCCATTATCAGTCTGATTAGGCTTGTGGATCTACATTAAATATGGCCGGGGTGAGGACACTGGCGGCCTGTCCCATTGACCCGGCGGTGTGGAGGCGTGTGAAAAATAAAAGAGACTGAAAATTAAAATATAATATACACAAAAAATAAATCAATAGACTAGTGAAACTAGATATTACACTAGCAACAAAAATAAAAATAAAAAAACACTGGGAAAGCTGAAAAAGAAAATCCCAAATAAAAGTGAGTAAAAGAAACGCAAAAAATAAGAGATAAAATTAACGTAAATTATAACAGTTCTTCTAACACAAAAAATGCCCAATCGGTCAGCGACAAAAATACATCGACTGCGAGGTAAGAACAGAATCGGGCTGAGTAAGGATTAATGAAGTCTGGACTGACTGGTATTTACTCAGTCTCACCACTGAGACAAGATGTGGCACAAAGTCGAGTTTAGTGTGGGGAATCCGAACGCGTACACTCGGGCCAACGGTCAAAATATACCCAGCCACCGCAACCGTGGAATCGGGCACTTTGGATTGTCTATTTTTCTCAGCCGATTCTCCATCCGTAGATAGAGACCCGACTGAGTCGTACTCTGTCCGAAGACAAAGAGCTTGACAATCGCAACCCAGAGAGCGGACAGCCTGACTGCAACGGTTTACACTTGACTCACTTTGAGTTCTTTATTTAAGGTGTCTTGCCTAGTTCGTTTGTGTTACCGGGGGTGTCTTGTTAACTCCACAGCAATTGATTCGTTTTCTACAGATTATCAAACCTTTGCAGGTTATTTAAACCCAGAAAATATTTTGAGATTATAATTTTCTTTTAGGATAACAATGATTTAGTGAGACAAATCTCATTCATAAAACCATAGCTGATGGAGAAGAGTTGCATTTATACCAAATCAGAATTTGAAATTATAATTTAGATATAAAGTGAGGGATCAATTTTATAAACTGATCCCTTACTCTGTGTCCATGATAGTTTCTATACATTTATATTCCAGCGAATGCACATAAGTCAAAATGACAAGCCTGTGTAGTTAATCATTATTTTATTGACTGATTCATTTTTTACGACTTATCAACCCTTTGCGAGTTATTTAAATCCAGAAAATATTTTAGATTGTAATGTCTTACTAATTAACCCATGGCAGGAGGAGAAGAGGTCAATTCATACCTTTTCCAATTGTATTTGCACGTAAGTGAATACAATGAACTCAATGGGAAATTGATTTCGGTTCACCAATTAACAATTTCGAGCCATTATCCATTACTACATCCGCACATCAAAGCTTACAGCACCTGGTGTTCCCAAGCGGTCACTCATCTAGATATTAACAAAGCTCGACGTTGCTTAACTTCGGTAATCGTAAGGGAACGGGTGTTTCAACGTGATGCGTCCATAAGCACGATACTAGAGATGGATACAATAGGGGAAAGCCTGAAAACCACCACAAGGGTTGTTGTTGTGTGTGTAAAAATGGGTATAGGCGGAATTTGGGGGAAATCGTCGATGGTTGTTTTAGCACGAAGTCACACGTGACCGATGGGTTGATCGTACTGGCATTGTACAAGTACTGAACATGACAAATTATCAACCCGCACTTTCATTATGTGGGTGTTAAATATAAGTGGCCATCGTAAAGCAATGGAACACTAGGCAATATTATAGAGCAGCGTACAGGCCTAGCGGAAATAGTACCGAACTATAAAAGTCATTGCCGAGAGAGGAGGGATATTGCCTGCCGAAGCAGTATTTTGGTATAATATGTCACCTAAATCTGGCCAACGTGAAGACACTGTGCCGCACAGAGCAATTTACACATACCAATGCAAACATCCTAGAGTTAAATCATGTTTAACACACTCTGACGGGCCTGAATCTATATGGATTGGAAGGGAGGTTTGTGTCAAACCAACTGGAGCCCGCTGCACGACAAAATGGGCAAGAGGAACGGTTACTGGAGCAACAATGTTGAGGTAGATGGTATGCCAAGACATGTTCTTGACCTTAGAGTGATTCAGGAAGATTCAGAAAATGATGGAGACTATGGGAGAAGTTCTCATAAGGCTTAGCACCTAAACACTCCGGAGATCGCAAAGAGAGCGACACCCGCCCAAATGGATGGATTACTATGTAACATGAGATGAGATCATAAGATCGTCGTTTAGTTTAAAAAAAAACTTACCTAATGGACGTACGTACGTAAAGAGAATGTCGTTGGGAAACCATATTGTTTTTATGCTGACAAATTAACACAAAATCACGGCGACCACGAGATTTTAGAAAATATAAATATGCATTGTACGAAAGACAAGGAGTAAAGGAAGTTACAGTATTTACATTACTATTGTCCTCATCTTTGTCGCCATATTTGTCACAACGTTTCGGCCGTTGTACGCTCCGGCCTTCTTCAGGTAGTTGGAATTTCGAACTGAACCTTTTATTTCGATCACTGGGGTAGACTGTTCTAATTCCACGTGCCATGTTTGATGGATGTCAGTTATCAGTTATCTCCTGCTAATTTTCCCTCTGAAAGTTCTCCACTCCCTTAACCAGGAATTGAACTCACCTTCTTTGGGTCTGTCACTCGATCTAACCCCTTTATCCACTGTGCCATGTGTCCTGGAGGACATCTGGGTATGAACTTCTGAGTATTATAAACCTAATGTTTTCAGCATCATTTTTACCAGTGCTCATATTGCAATTTTTGCTGTTATCATTGCATGTCTTTTACCAGAGTTCATATTGCGACTTTTGTTATCATTGCTTTTCTCTGGCACTCCTTATTACTGGTTCCCATATTGTATTTATTTCTATGCTTGGTCGGCTCAGGAGATTTTTGTGGCCTAGCATATGTGCTGATTCCTTAAGTTCCTACGAATTTTCCAATGTTGTTCCCTGTCTATGATCTCAACATGATCCCACAGGGGGCGGTGATCTCCCTTCTCTCTCCATATGTGGTCAGCCACGCCTGATTTTTCTACTTCCCCTCGCGTTACAGGTTTCTGGTGTTCTTGAAGCCTTACCTTGAGGGGGCGGCCTGTCTCTCCTTTATATTCCTTTCCGCAGCTGCACGGGATAGCGTACACACAGTCTTTAGTCATGTTCCACTCTGTGGGTGGTCTCACTCGTGAGAGATACCTGCGAAGTGTTGTCACGCTTTTGATGGTTGTCCTGATGTTATATGGACCGCAGATCCTTTGTATTTTCTCTGATAAGCCCTTCACATATAGCAGGCAGACTGTTTTCTGAGTGTTGTTGTACTCCACCTCCTCCTCTTGTACCCGCCTATCCCAGTTTTTGGGAGCTGCTGCCATGTACCCAGGGTAGTTGTTACGTTGTAGGGTACTACTTATACTAACCAATTCCTTATCTAACGTCTCTGGATCGCCACTTATGACTTTTGCTCGGTGTTGTAAGCATCGGACGATCCCTTTCTTTACGCTGTATGGATGGTGGGAGTCGAAATTGAGGTACTGTCCGGTGAATGTTGGTTTACGGTATACGGATGTCTTGAACCCATGCTCTGTTCGAGATATTAGTATATCCAGGAATGGGAGTGAGTTGTTACTCTCTTTCTCCATTGTGAACTGTATCGAAGGTCTTATTGAGTTCACCTGATCCAGTAGAACCTGGACGTCTTCCTGATGTGGCCAGAGTATGAAGGTGTCATCTACGTATCGTAACCATATAGTTGGCTTTAGCGATATAGACTCTAATGCCATTTCTTCAAAGTATTCCATGTATATATTCGCCATTGCTGGTGATAATGGCGAGCCCATTGCTAAGCCCTCATCCTGTCGATATATGTGAGATCCCATTCCGAAGTATGTTGTTTGTGTACAGAAAGTCAGATTATCTATTGGAATACTGGTCCGCTCCTGTAGGGAAGAGTCTGAGGTCAATCTATCTCTGACTACTGAGAGTGCCTCCTCCGTGGGTACCTCAAATCGCTACCGACACTGGAGTTTGAACACAGGTGACCAATGAACAAACACAGGTGATTCCATCTCTAATAAGTAGACAACGTGATCGTAAAGGAAATGTATATCTAGGAATTATCGTGGCGTCTAAGTGATCACTATTTCTACTCTATCCTCTATTACTATACGGAACGCTATTCTCTATACTATTCACTGTACTATTCCCTAGACTAATTACTACACGGATCACTATTCTGTGGCTACTTTTTCGAGCGAGTATTTTCGAGCAAGAACTATGAGTGCGAGTATTATTCGAATGTGTCTGACACCAGCATTGTTCAACGGCGTACTATAGTGATATCAGCGATTACAAAGTCCCACAATGAGCATTATAAAAGTGACGACGGGTATTCGTTAACATTACTAAAGTGGCAACGAGTGTTCGCTGACATTACAAAACTAACCTACCTATCTATCTATCTATCTGAATTGGTTATCAAATCCACCTCCTTGAGTTTGTCATCAAATTTATCTATATAGCTATCTCTCGAAGTTTATACTATGTCGGAGTCAGCTCCTCCTAATTTCCCTAATTATTCATTAGGGGTCGCTCCCCTACACTATAATTACTGGGTGATTTCTTGCCGAGGTTTCCTTTGTCATTTCTTAATTTCAGCGAACACCTCTACAATGTGAGCTCTCGCAAAAGATAGCGTTTCCCATTTGGGGGAGACGCCATGAACATTATACACACATACACGTACGTACGAACATTCACCAAAGAAGAAACACAAATGTTCACACACAAACAAATGTTATTGTCTATTGTAAAATTGTGTTTTTTAATACACACATATATATATATATATATATATATATATATATATATATATATATATATATATATATATATATATCTATATATATATATATATATATATCGGTCTTGGACCTTCTTCTAGCAGGAATAAATAGCACGTGTTTCTAATAATACAACAACACTCTAAACCCACACGGTCCCTCTACAATTACCATCTATTTGAGTATTTATCATATCGATCTATTTGATTTTGTTATACCTATCTATCTATCTTTTTAAATCTATCTACCTTTTTATATATATCTATCTATCTACCTTTTTATATTTATCTTTCTATCTTTTTGAGAATGTTTTCTTTGTTTTTCGTCTCTTCTTGCGTTATTTTCATTTCTCTGAGTGGTGTAAAGAGTATGAATGAAATCGAATCACAAATCCAGTTCATAAAAATGTCAGTATCAGTTTCTGTATTCAACACCCGATAAGTTGCAGCGTACAATTATTTGTTGACAACATACACGTAATGACTTTCAAAGGAAGCCTAAAAAAATCTTCTTCAGCAAAGAATAAGGAAGAAAAATTTAACGAAACGGTTCCGTCCTTGCATTCATTCTGTCATCGCAATACTTAGACATTTCATCGTTTTTTGTTGTTGTTTTTTTAATCCACTTATCTCGACTGGCGTCTCGCTTGCAACAGGAGACTGTCAGATTTCGGTTATTGATTACTTTTTTGCTTTTTGGAAATATTTCTTATAATCAGTTCACATGGAGCGCCCACAAACAACAAAACAAGAAAGCAAGAATTACCTCCCTTACTCTTTTCACTTCCGTGTCATTACCGATAAAAAAAATAATAATTGAAAAATCAATTCGAGGATATGGATAAGGGTTATTCGTACATTTGTAAATCACAAAAATTATTCTGTCGCAATTCAGCAAGAAAGTATCTATAGATGAGTTTTTATAAGAGTGTATGGATGTGGTGTAATGGATATCGACTCAGAATTAGAAATCGGAGAACCGAGTTCGAATTCAAGTCGGGTTTCACCCTTGTCAAAGGTATGAATCCATCCGTTCTGTCCCAATATGGGTTGAATAGCAGAACAGCGGCAAAATCTTCTGCCAAGTCGAAAAAAAAACAGGATACGCCAAAGAATGTATATAGCAAAATGATGTATTAATAGGATTAGTCATTGATAATTATTTATAGTGAATTATGTGTGCGTAGTATTAAACATAGAAAATTAATTTATTATAGTTAGGAGTAGCAGATTATTTATTTGTGATTATGTGTAAAAAAGTAGTATTAGGCACAGGTAATTATTTATAGGGTATTATAAGTGAGTAGTAAAAAGAATAGGAAATTATTTATGAAACATTATCATAGGAAAAATGGATTAGTATTATTAGAAAAATAAATATTATTTATAGGTATTATGGATGAGTAGTATTAGGCATAAAATATTATTTATAAAATATATTAAGAGGAAAGTATGGATTAGTAGTATTAGATAAAGGAAATTTATTTATAGGGTATTACTGATGAGTAGTAATATGCAAAAAGAAAATATTTCTAAAATATATTGATAAGAAATTATGTATCAGTAGAATTAAAGAAAGGAAATTATTTATAGGGAATTTCAGA